TGGGGTGTTGTCTGAGCGTGGCGCTACGCCACGGGGGGAGTCCAGTCGGGAGGCGAGGCCTGAGGAGGCTGTGGTGGATGGGTCTAGTCGGGAGGCGAGGTCTGAGGAGGCTGTGGTGGATGGTGTTCGTGAAAGGAATGAAGGATCGGCTGGCGGGGACAGTAGGGCTATGGGGTCTGGTGAAGGGTCTTCGAGTTCCATTCGGGTTATCTCTCAGACGCCTACCCGCTTGGGAGAGACTGTGTCTAGCTCTAGTCGGCAACTTGGTACTTGCCTGTCCGAAAGGAATTGCACTGAGTTGCTTGCACAAGCCACATGGACACCGGAACAAGCAGAAAGGTATAGTAACCACCTTCTTTCGCTCAACGGTCCTCCACAGCGAGGCGACATTGAGGATGTGATTCGCCGGTCCCTTCAGGACTTCAAAGCAAAGACGAGAGCAATCGACATCTGTGCTAAGAATGTAGGTGCTAAGGGTTGGACTTTGGGTTTCTTTGTGTATGGAAACAAAGTTGGCCTCACTGCCAGGACTAGATACATGCCTTCAACTGTTCGCCTGTTCAACAGCTACCTCAAGTCGTTGCTAAACCCTTCGCAGGATGTGTCTGCCACTTGGACCGCGTTGAGGGTTACCTGGGGTATGCAGGCCGGCCCTCATAAAGACCGAAACATGAAGGGAACAAAAAATTGGGTTGTGCCCATTAGCAAATATGACCGGGGACGGTTGTGGATTGCTGAAGAAAATCCAGAGTTGCTCAGTGAGGAGCAGAAAAAGGAGTTGGTCCAATGGGATGGTGTTTGGGGTCGGTTCCATGCAGGGGATGATAGAGACATGTGGTTCGATTCTAGCAAACCTCATGCTGTAGAGCCTACTGACGATGATCGCATAGTCATGGTTGCATACACCCCACGAGGGCTTCAGAAATGTTCCAGTCAAGAAGCTGCTGAACTTGAGGCTCTGGGTTTTCAGTTGCCTCCTGGGGCGCCAAAACCTCCTAGGGTAGCTGCAACAGGTTCTATGTCACAGGGCAATGAGCCGCAATACTTTGATATTAGCTCAGACTCAGAGGAGGACTCCTCTGAGGGGGAGTGGAAAGGCACCGGGGAGCCCGAAAATCATGATCAGCGTGTTGCTAGGCTGTCGCGGTTGGTGCGTGAGGAAGGAAAGGCCATGGACGAGGAGTTGGGCATGGGTGTTGCGTGTGTGACTCCTTCTTTGCTTGCTGAGTTGAAGGAAGACCTGCGTATTGCTGAGTTGCTTCAAGAACATGACGAGTGCGAAAGGGACGTTGAGCTTGGTTGTTCAAGGTTTGCGCTGCATCGGTTGGCTTCTGTTGAGCATGAGCTGAAAAATGCTTGGAGGTCTGCCGAGACAAGGAGCTTGGAGCAAGTGAGGGCACTGAATGTGCCTCTGGCGGACTCCAAATCATTCGGTCGGCCAAGCTTGATGCAGGTTGGCTTGGGTGGTCAGAGCGTGGTTGAGGCTGAGAGTCGATCAGTTGAACCTGTTGAGCGTGGTGATTCTGTTGAGTATGGTGATTCCGTTGAGCTTGGGAACTCCGTTGAGCTTGGTGATAGTGTCGAGCTTGATTTGCGTGGTGACTTGGTTCCGGGGGAGTCCTTGAAAGATGTTCACCCTAGCTTTGGGCTAGAGACGCCAGAGCTTACCATGAAGGGTGCTCAGCCGACTCCAGGAGCGCTGTTGCAGACCAGGATCATTTCACAATCAGAGGTTTGGGCGGACATCGAGGCATGGCGCCAGCCGCTCACCGACGAGGTGACAGCATTGAAGAATGTACATCAAGCGGTGTGGCCCATTGGACCGGACGAGCTCCAACGACTTGAGCAGTTGGCAACTGTGTCGGTTATACCGGGGAAGGGGGTTTACACTCAAAAACCCATTACTAACCGCCTTAGGGCTAGGATAGTGGGGTGCGGTAATTACTTAGAGAGTGAGCCTCAGCAGGAAAGCGAGGCTAAGGGTAGGTCAAGGACCCAGGACCTTTATGCCGGGGGTGTTGATGGGGTAAGTGTGAGACTTCAGGTCAGTGCCGCGGCCACTAACGGGTGGGTATGTGCCGGGCTGGATATCAAAACTGCCTTTTTAGGGGCACCCCTTTACCAAGACCAAAAGGGACGAGCAGTGTTAACCCCAGGGGACTTGACTTCAGGAAATCTGGACTTCGAGACGTTGGTCAAGAAGTTGCAATCTGTTCAGGGTGATAGGGTTAAGATTGTGGTGGTTTCCCCTCCAAAGATCTTGGTTCGTTTAGGACTTGTAGAAGAATCGGAGAAGTGGTTGGTGGTTAAGGCTTTGTACGGCCTTGCGGAGGCGCCGCGGCGATGGAGTGCGCACAGAGACTTGTTGCTTCGACAGCTGGCGTGGGAAGACAACGGCCGAAGATATTCCCTGGATGCCTGTGTTGCTGACAACAATCTATGGCGTATCGTGAGCAAAGCAAAGCCTGAGACCACAGAGGCCCATCAAACTTCTATTGATGGAGCTCAAACCATAACCCCCTCAGAACCCGGTAGGTCCACACAGCAACGCCCTCAGGACATCCAAGGGGTAAGGCTTCACGGCCTTCTTGGAGTGTACGTAGACGACATGCTCATCACGGCGAACAATGAGGTGCAGACCAAATTGCTGCAAGAACTCCGCCGGCTTTGGTCTACTTCAGATCCGGAGATAGCTGATGTGGGAAGGCCATTGCGATTCTGTGGGTTCAACTTGCATCGGTTGACGGGGGGTGGGTACTTGTTAAATCAAGAGGATTACGTTCAGGATCTCCTCCAGAAGTTTCCAGACGTTCAGGGAACTGCGGAGGTGCCATGCTTGAAAGAAGAGGATCCTGAGCCTGAGAATCCTGACCCTGTTCAGTTGAGAAGGGCCCAGGCCCTTACTGGGGCATTGCAGTGGCTCACTACACGTACTAGACCAGACATTTGCTTTGCTGTAAACAAAACGGCGCAACTCATGTCGAAATTTCCTGCGTGTGCCACTAAGTATGCCCAAAACATCTTGAGGTACCTTAGAGGCGCCCAATCCCTCGGGTTGAGATTTGGGCCCCTTAGCGGTCCCTCCGATTATGGTCCCAGCGGGGAGTTGGTAGCTCCTAGAACGGCAGGACTGGTTGAAATCTATGGTGATGCAAGCTTTGCACCGAGCAGTGCAAAGAGTCAAACTGGCTTGGTGGCAACCCTGAGCGGTCATGTGATTGCATGGGCATCGCATAGACAATCGGTCACATCTCAGTCTAGCGCGGAAGCAGAGCTTTACGCGACCGGCGATGGAGTGCTGTTGTTGCAAACCCTTGAACCGTTGATCCAGGAATTGCATGCAAGTCCAATCAGAAAACTCGTTTATAATGACAATGTAGGGTGCATAAGCCTATATTCCGCGCCGAATGGAGCCTGGCGCACCCGACACCTCCGCTTGAAAGCAAGGGGGGGTAGGGAGTTGCTGGAGTCCGGTTACTTTGAGATTAGACATCTAGCCGGAAAATGGATGCTGGCCGACTTGGCCACCAAGGCCCTTGCATTTCCTCGCCATAGAGAGCTGTTGCATTTACTTGAGATGAGCGAACCATCCGCATGTGAAAAGACTAAAGAGATCCGTATGTTGCATGGTGAGTCCTCAGGTTTTCCCCAGTCAAGGGGTAGTGTAGGGTCAAAACGAGCCATGGGAATCGGAACGGTTGTTCTTGCCCTTTCCATCCTGGCACTGGCAGCCTCAAAGATAACCATCACTGTTGAAGACAGCGAGGATGGAGGCCGTGTCATGGACATGCTGCTTGTGCTTGGTGCGTCGCTGCTGGTGATGGCTGCTTACGCGTTGCGTCGTTGGTGTGTCAGCGGTGCCAACAATGATCCGGTTGAGGTGAGTGGCAGTGGCAAGGATGAAGATGAATGGTCGGTGGTTGAACAAGTCACCGAAGAGAGCTCTCCAGGGTTTACGAGTAGTGGCCCCCAAATGGTTATGGAAAGTAGGACCCTAGCCTCTACCCTTACCCAAAGGCGTACCCGAAAGTCCCCAGCGGAGGATCACCCAGGTGTATCGCAGGCACTGGATGAGCAACCTGGCTTGCGAAAAATGTCTGGCTCCGGATTCCAAAATTCCAGTTTTTCTGGCTTGGGAAAAGGGGACGCTCCGCACCACAGTGACAGTTCGTCTGGCTTGGGAAAAGAGGACGCTCTGCACAACAGTGACAGTTCAGCTGGCTTGGGACAAAGGATGGCTTCACCTAGCACGGTGATAACCCAAACTGGCGTGCGACAAGTGGTCGAGGATGAGATCCAGGAGGGAGAAATCCGTATTCACCCATATTGGAGGCCTCCGCGGGTACCGCCGCGAATGATGTGGCCGGAGCTTCCAGCATGGGGCGGACCACCATCTCTGTTCCATCAACCTACACCAACTTTCGTGTCCAAGGATGAGTGGGTGGTAAGCAAGGAACGTGGCGTGCTGACTCGGTTTCATGGAAGCGCCAGACTATATCTGTTCGACCCCCACAAGGCAAAGTTGCCCCTCGGCATCAGAATGGCTCAGCTGACAGGCCAGCGTCGTTCCTTTCTCAAGTTTGAGGATGCTAGCCGGCCTACGACCATCTTTGAAGACTCCTTTGGGGAGGTCGGTGCAAGGAAGATGGAGACGGCCTGGAAGGGTAGGACTGAATTCGCACTTCATCCGCATGCGAATGTCCAGACAGTTGCCTAAAATTTTGTGTTGGCAGTTTTGGAAGTCCTGGTTGAGATGGAGTCAACGAAGGTTGTTCCTGTCCAACTAGGGCGAAAGCTTGAAAGCCTTGAGCCAGGACGTAAACGTCCAGGAAGCACAGGCGAAAAAATCGCCTCTTTTGAACGTGCTCCGAGAAGGAGACAACGAAAGGAGCGTAGCTCCTTTGGGGGAGTGCGAGCGGAAGCTTGCAACTTCTCATCATGAGGGATTCCGGAAGGCTTTTTGTATGCTCAAAGGATAAAAGGTGCGCAACCTCTGCTCAGATAGGGTTTAGGGTTCAGGGTTTAGGGTTTAGGGTCTACCTACACCCTAAAAGGATCGAATATAATGGGCTTTTGGGCTATGTTGGGGGGGCGGGGGCTTTGGGCAATTATTCTACCTACTTCTGGGGTCCAGGTAGGGATCCCCCAAGCAAGCACGAAGACCAATAAGCCGAAGAAAGACCCTTGTGCCTCTCAAAAAGGCATTTAGCACTCCATGCATGTGTTGGGGGATGGCAGCTTACCTAAGCCCTAAACCCTAAACCCTAACTTTAGTGCTTGCAGTCTGGGTATTCTTGGGGTTGCGGCTTTTGGCCTAGAGATTTTGCATTGACATTCTTTTGTAATGTAGGAGCCTAAATAATTACCAACATGGTGCTGGACCCTCGAGCCTGATCCCTGAATTCAGGGGTACCTCAAGCAGACCTTGGCATATTGTTGGTATTTATTTAGGCCCCTGGGGGTATTACGATGGGTTCTCATGAACAAAGAAGCCATCATCTAAACTCCTATACAGGCATTAGACAGGGGATTATATGGGTGACCAGTACAGGGTTATAAAGGGAGATGACTGTTTTTCTCCTAAGCTTAATCACCGTACCCCGCACCCATACACCTGAAACTTCTACACATACGCAACGCCCTAGGTAGTTAGACCCTCTAAATCAACACGGAGGCCCAAATGAGCTACTAAGATTCTGGCCCCAGATTACTACCTTAGAGGTTACCTCACATAGACTTCGAAAGCATATTTGCAATTACTTAGGCTTGCGGTCTACAATGCTTATAAACCCATGTAACACCAGATGTCATCTCATTTTCCATGTTCTTTATTTCCTTTGTTGGTATTTATTTTGGCCTAAACCCTTGAACCCTGGACCCCAGACCCTACATCATTGGCAGTCATTTAGGTCCCCGCCCCACTCTGAGATCTCAACTTTTACAGGAGAAGAAGAGGCGAAAATCGGGCAAAGGACGTGACTTGTCACAGCTTTCTAGGGGGTGACAGGGAGCATGGTCGTCATGGTGTTGGGGTTCAGGGCTAAAGATGTGAGGTCTAGTGGGTGGGAGATAGGGTTCAGGGCTTTGGAGTTAGGATTTGGGGCTTCATACTTGTTTGGTATGCGCCTTTTGTATTTCTGCAACAGTTCTCCCTGTTTCCTACTGAAGTGGAGCTAATTAAAGGGCCCTTGGGCTATACTTTGTCAGCCATGTATGGGCCTTTTGACCTTAAGTGTCCACAAATGGTTCCTAAGCCCTGAAGCCTAAAGCCAAAGATAGCACCTTATATGGGACTTTTCTGCAGGAGTTTTGAAGCATTGAACGGGATGATGTAGGGAGATCCCAAACATGCTGAAGGGGCATTCCTTTAAGGTTTAGGATCTTCGGGGTTTTGGGTTTGGGCTTAAACCCTAAACCCCTAAACCCCAAACTTTGCTATAGGGAGGTTCAAAGGAGTATGTGTGGCTTCTGTAGGGAGCAGAATAGGGTCCGCACTGACAAAGTCTGACAACTTGTGGACGGAAGAAATCTTGCACCGCCCCATATACGTGCAAGAACCGTCATTGCAGCACTTTGGGGGGGGGTATGAAGTAGGGCAAAATTTCCTCCATCCACGTAAACCCCTTCGCCCTAATCCCCAAACTGTAGGGAAGTGGGAAGGACTAGGACGGTTTGAGGTTTCGGGTCTAAGGTCGTTTAGGCCCAAAGGGTCTAAGGTTTATAGGTGTTCAGATTTTGGCTTAGGTTTTATAGCATCGATGGATTTAGCGTTTCTGGGATTTAGGGTTTAAGGTTTATGGGAACATGGGATTGTGGGGATGATGGGACGTAGGGTGCCTGGTTATGGGATTTAGGGTTTAGTGTGTATGGGACTCTGGGCGTAGAGGCTTTACGGCTTGGGTTTCTGGGATTTAGGGTTACATAGTGGCGTCTGTGGTTTTGAGGATTTCGGGTTTAGGGTTTCTACCATTTATGGTTTAGATGATCTGGCGTTTAAGGCTAAGGTAACAGATAGTAGGGCTTATGAGGACCTCGGGCTGTTAGGGTTTTGGTTTTATGGGACTTAGGTCCAGGTTTCTAGGTTTGGGGCTTCCCAAGGTTTATGAGATTTGGGCCTGAGGGTAGCTTATCCAGGGGGCTCTTGGTTACAGCTGGAGGTGTTTCAATGTTGGCAGATACCACCTAAATCCCAAGAGTATGTAAAATAATAGCTCCAAACCCATAATAACAGCCATGAAGGCCATGATTTTACATACTGTTCGGGTCCAGGTACAGCCAGCTCGGGCCCTTGCAAATCGATTTAGGGTCTCGGGTACTCTTGCGGCTGGGAAACAGCAGCTTTCTTGGTGGCACAATACTATGCCCCCCCAAGAGTTTCCTCCCCAGATTCAGAACCCTATTAGGCTTTATGAAGCGCTATATAGGCCCCGCCAACCCCGTGGGGGGAATGGGGTTTCTATCCCTTGCTATAGAATTCTCAGTATACCGGCATAAGTTAGGTACTGCGCCCACGCAGTAACAGTCCGCAATAGGCTTAATATCATCTACTGTGTGCAGTTTACGATATCAGGATGATCTAGCTGCTCTTGGGTGGGGGGCAGTGGCCAAAGCATAAGTGGGTAATTCTCAAAATTATGGGCCCCTTTTGGTTATAAGTAATACTACGGCACCTAAGATTTTAGGTACCTAAATGGGACCCTAATTTTGGGAACTGCCCAAGTAAACTTGCAGGCTAGTCTTCCAGGCAAGTATGCTGAGATCTGGTTTTGGTAGTTCGGTGGCCCATGCCTAGGGCTGCGTTGGGGTGTGAAGGAGGGGAGCTTTGGAAATTTAGGGCTTAGGGTTTAGAATGTTATGGAAGGAAAGCGGCAGCTCAATCATATGCTCATGCAGGCTGCGTGGGCAAAACCTAGGTGCGAGCCCTCCCTCCTGACATCGTCATACACCCAAGGGATATTAGCCCACAGCATATTACCAGTTGCTAGTATAGAAACCCTACTTTGTACCTTATAGGTACTTAGGATCCAGTGAGTTCTTGCTTTTTCTAGAGCCGCTACCAAGAGACGCTCACAGCTTCCGGCCCTGAATGCCTTGACAAAGCAGCAGGGTGACTGCAGGGTTTCTGCTTCCTGGCGCACGGCGGAGAGTTTAGGGCTAGGATCTGGACATCACAGCAAGCCCGAGACCTGAGCCAATTTTGGAAGCTCTCGGGTGTGTAGAAAAGCTTTCTGTAGGACTTTGTGAGCCTTATCTGCGCAGCACGTGAGCATTACCTCCAGCTTCCCATGGCGCTGTTTTCGTTTTGTTTGTTTTGGGTTCAGGACAAGCATGTTGCGAGGGTACCGTGCATTTGCACCAGAAAAAGGTCCCAGAAAGAGCCCTTAACCCTAAACTAAAAACCCTAAATCCTAAGACCTAAACCCTCTAATCCTAAACCTTACATTCTAAATCTCAAACCCTAAACCCTTACCCTAAACCTCAGGCCTGAGCCTGTAAACCTGATGGACAAGGTGACAAGATTGTCCCATCTGGCACCCTTGGCGCTCTGGAGGTGCGTTTTCCCGGGAGGGGGGGGG